GAGAATCTTAAAAAGTTCATCACATTCTGGCTGGGGATGGTGGTTCACGCCTGTAATCCCAGCACTTTGGGAGGCCAAGGCGGGCGGATCATGTGAGGTCCGGAGTTGGAGACCAGCCTGACCAACATAGAGAAACCCCATCTCTACTAAAAATACAAAATTAGCAGGGCGTGGTGGCGCATGCCTGTAATCCCAGCTACTTGGGAGGCTGAGGCAGGAGAATCGCTGGAACCCGGGAAGCAGAGGTTGCGGTGAGCTGAGATCGTGCCATTGCACTCCAGCCTGGGTAAAAAGAGCGAGACTCCGTCTCAAAAAAAATAAATAAAAGTTCATCACTTTCCATCCATAACTGCCACCGAGAACTCTCTTCATCTAGTGAGCATGCCTTTATTCAGGATGTTCCACAGACAAATTACTCTTCTAACCTGGGAAACTGACAAACCATGCCTCCTCTGTGGGTACCCAAGAAGCCTTCTCCCCTGGGGGAGCTGCTATTTCCTACTTTGTACCCTCGATGTACAACAGCAATCACAAACCTTTGTGCCTGGCCCTTTGCAGGTCCTCAAACATTTCTTCAAGTGATGGTAACCGTTCTGTTTCCTCATTTTATAGGCAGGAAAATTAAGGCCCAGAATAAGTCATTTGCTCAGAGAATAGAACTAGAGAGTCAAGATCCTCATCATGACTATTAATTCTTATTAGGAATCAGTTATACTCACGTAATTGTCGTTCCCCGTCCTAGAGTGTTTCCTCTTGGGTCAGCAATTACCGAAAATTCATTGGAGTCGGACTCCCAGATGTGCTGGGTATCGTTGTTGTGTTTTGATGTGACAATAACCTTATCTGCTACAAGGAAGGCGGAATAGAAACCAACACCAAACTGGCCAATCAATTCAGAAGTTGACTGGCCATCTTCCTGTGCTTCCGTCATCTTGTTTAAAAACTCGCTTGTTCCAGATTTGGCTATGGTACCAAGGTTCTTAACCAACTCTTCTCTGGTCATTCCTACACCGGTGTCTGTGACATGCAGCAGGTTCTTCTCCTTATCACACTAAAAGCAAGACAAGAACCAGATAGTTGTATTTAATATTTACATTACGCCAAGCAAATATTGAGGAACTAACCAGCTTTGGGTCCCATCAATTCCAATACAGAAAACTAAACTGAGATATTTTCCTCTACATAGTTTTTTATGGCCTTTTCTGAAAGTGTACATCTTAAAGTAATCTATGTATTTGAGAAAGTATTAATATCAAATGGGCAGACTGGTCTAAATGTCAAGGGTTAGAGGCTGACCTAAATAAAACAAGTTACCTTTGAAGGAAAACAATTCAAGAAAAATAAAATTTTATGTCTTGCCTATTTCTTTAATAGAAAACAAAACAACTTGAATGATTCTTCTATTTGGAATCTGTGATGGATCATTAATATTCTTCACTCAATATTCCTGGCTGTCTGCCTTCCAGAAACCTAGGAGGATTCTACTTTCTCCATTTAAGAATGGCTAAGGCCATGTGACTAGTTCTGGCCAATGAGTTATAAAATGGCCAATGAGTCGTAAATGAGAGCTCTGCTTTCAGGCTGAGCCTTTAATTATAGTAGTATGAGACCCTCTAAGCTTGCTCTGCACCATGGCAACCATCTACACACTACAGATGGCTGCCCACGCCTCTGTCCCAGCATGGGGATGAAGCAGAGCAAAGACCACAGGCAGACTGTGATCAATGATTTAAGCCAAGGGCTAGCAAACTTTTTCTGTAAAGGGCCACATAGTAAATATTTTAGGCTGTGGGAGACTCATGTTCTCTGTTAAAACAACTTGACTCTGCTGTTGAAACACAGAAACAGTCACAGATAATAAACAAATGGGCATGGCTGCATTCCAATAAAACTACTTATAAAAACAAGTAAAGTCAGATTTAGCCATAGTTTGCTGACTTTCAAGCCACTGAGGCTTGGGGGTTTTTTGTCACTGCAATATAATCTAGCCTATCTTGACCGATAGGGATCTTCTACCTCTAAGGATTCCTTTTCCTTTAAAAGAAAGAAAAACTGTCTTACACTTACCTTAATTTTAACTGTTAGTTCCTCATTTCCAGAAAGAGCATTTTCATCAGTCAGTGATATTAGCCGTATCTTATCTAAAGCGTCGGAAGCATTTGAAATCAGTTCTCTCAGGAAAATCTAAATGGAAGCCAGAGGTAATACACTTAAGACTATCCTCAAGATACATTAAGATATTCAATTTTATGCCAAACCCATTTTATTTCTTCTCTGTACCTTATAAAAGCACTCTTTAAGGAATTAAGACTTCTTATGGTATAGGAGTGGCTTTATTCTTTTGATTAAAAAAAGGCATAGCTCCTTACACAAAGAACTGTGGCAACTATAAGGGATACATTAGCTGGTAAGGGTAGTAACACTACCCATCTGACAGTGATCTTGAGGTATACAATGCAAGAAGTTTAATTTACGAGACTGCCCTTAGACTCACAACTATTATCAGGCCATGAACCTATTTAGAGGTAAAGGAAAAAGAAAATGTCTGACGCTCCCTTTCTTCCCAGATATCTAGTAACAATTCTTGGACATATTAAGTATTTAAAGGTTGTTAGCTACTTACTCGGTTAGTACATTACTTTTGCAGTAAATCAAGCAAATTTAAGTAAACAAGTATGCCACCATATAGAGACAAAATATTCTAACCACATGTTGCTTACCTCTTTATTTTTATACAATGAATTGATGATAAGTTTCATCATTCTGTTAACTTCAGCTTGAAAGGCAAACTTTTCCGACTTCTCTCTAAGTTCTCTTATTTGCGATGCATTTAATCCATCCAACTGAATAGCTTCTTCCTCTCTAAGGAAATCAGTTAGATAAGCAAATATTGCATGGCTTAGTTCCCTTCAAAACTAGAGGAATTATGATGCGAGCACAGTGGCCTCTAAATATTGTCTTGGGGGTTAAAATGGAAACCCTTATAAAGTATTACTGATATACCATCTCATTATGTTAGCACAGCAGTAGGCTACCTTTAACATTGCACTGGAAATACTTGGTTCTTAAAATTGCCAGAAAAAAAACCCCCAAGTTTCCTCTACTAAAAAGCAAAGTCATACTCATTTATGCTCCACGGTGAGGACTTCAAAACTGTCAATAAATCCCAAGAGGCCAAATTTTAAAATATTGTTCAACTGACAGAAATCCCATTTTTAAACTACTCAGCGTACACAGTTAATGAATACAAATCCAACTGAAACTCTTTTCTAAAGTCTTACAAAGTTCGTGGTGCTAGTATGCTGCAATATAGTTTTCAAAGGAATTCACTCAGTTTTAATCACTCCCAGGGACAAGTTAGGAGGCATGTATGCACACAACTCACCAGGTATTTAAATACAGGGTGTTAGACTTTATCTGGACCTTTGGAGAAGAGATACATAAGAAGTGACCCCAACTCACAAGGTTCACAGGGCTTATCTGTATAGGTAAGTTCAAATGAACACAAACCTCTGTACTACTTCATCATCCGTCCTTGAGCCTTCTCTACTTTTACCCAGATCCTCTTCTACTGTACCATCCACATCAACTTCATCGTCAGCTCTGACCGACCCTGAAGATTTAACACGGGAAAACTCTTCAACATCGCACTTCTCCAAGGAGGATGATCAAATAGGGAAGGGTAGGGGTTGCAAAATTCAGCTAGTAAATAAGGGTGGAGGGGATGAAAGAGTGTATTCCCTGGTTTAAATACCCAAGGTAAAGCCAAGACAGCACATCTATTTAAGTTCTGATGTTGAGGTCCCCAGTAGATTCTGAAATACTGAGGTAGTCACCACTTCTAAACAGTGTGTCTCCGATCATTTATAAATAACGTTAAGCAGACACACCAGGTCTCTTCTACAACCACACGTGTTGCGCGCAGGCCGAGCCAAGGCCTCCCAACTGACCAAACCAAAACTTCGGCCTTCGTTATCACAGGTCAGAATGCAAATAGGATTTATGCAATCTCTGGCGAGAGGAACTGAAATTGAGCCCAGAGGCATGAGAAGGGGGCGAAATGTTAAGAACCGAGCTCCAGCAAAACCGAATCAAACACGCTGACACTGCCATTCCGCTGGCCCCAGGCCTCACGCTCCCAAGCCAGCATCTTCTTAAGAAAGGACACGCGCTTGCGAGGAGTCGGAGTCTGGGGAATTACCGGACGGGAAAGCTAGGATGGCCGAAGGTAGCGGTGGCCGAAAAAGTCCTCCGGGCGGGGAGGGGGGAGGGACTCTCACAACTCCCGGGGGAGCCAGAGCCCCAGAGAGGCCCCACCCCGAGGTCGCTGAGACCTCCGGGCGAGATATTATTAGATCTGTAGGGGAGTTAGATATTCTGCTCTCTTTTATTATTTCCAGAGGAAGAAGAGAATAAACGTAATCCCCTGGCCCTCTTTCGAGGAAAGGTGACGTCCCTTGGCCCACCGCAGGCCTCGGGATCCCCCTTCCCAGGTTCAACGCCCCCAGAACCTTCGAGAAGCGGCCGCGTGTGTAGAGGGGGGACGTCTGCTCCTCCAGGATCACTCACCGAAGGTCAGCAGGACGCAGCAGAGGCCCAGCACCCACAGGGCCCTCATGGCGTGCGGCCGGTGAGTCTCAAGTCCCTCTCGATCGCAGGAGCCGCCTCCACCCCCACCCCTAAGCTCGGATCCTCACACCTCCAGCCGCGCGGTCCGCCCACTACACCCCAAGCAGGTCGGGCCGCTTTTCACCCCCACTTCTCGAGGGCGGGGGACGGGAAACATGAACCCACCAATCGCGCCGCACCACGCACCCACGGCACCCAATGGGGATTCGTGGGGGGGACGGAAGTCCACCAATCGGAGCTGTCCAGGTGCGGTGACCGATGCCCGAAGCGTGGCTCCTTCCGATTGGTCAGGGTTTGCAGCTTTTCTCCAATCAAATGGCTCCGCGGGCCCCTCACACGTGGGACCGCCCCTTTGCCTGGGCGGCTGTGGCCTCTAAGGGCAACCGTCCAATGAATGTAAGTACAGAACACATCCATCTTTTTCGAGAGGTCGCGGCGGAACTACTTCCGGATCCTAGAGAGCGTTTATTCCGTGACCAGTGGAAACGGTAGCCATGGCAACGTGTTCTTCACCCTTTCCCATCTATATCTGGGGTTACGTTGGGAGTGATTCCAGCACGACTTTCGCGGCCAGCGTTCTCGTGTGGCGGCGCTTCTCGGAAAGGAGAAACACGCGAGAGAGGTTGAAAATCCCCTAGAACCCTTCCAGATGGAGGTGGTGAGAAACTACAGCTCCCGACATGCAATGTCCTAGGGGGTACACTGCATTGAATGCTGGGAATCGTAGTCTTTGGTCTCTGAGGACCAGCTGCGTAGTTTGGCCCTTTCTTTCACGTTCCCCCAGCGTGTGTTTGCCGGAGCGCTGTCCTGCGTCTTAGCTGTTACATCTCGTTCTGATTACAGTAGAGATATGTGCCTATTCCAGGAGTCTCCATTGTACACAGCTTTTAGAAGCGGGCCTGGAAAGCCTTGACGCTTCGGGCAAGGCCGCCTTGTTCTGGGGGGTCGGTCTGAGTCTGGGGGCTCCGCCTCCGGCTCGAGAGCACGCGTTTCCGAATCCGCCTACAAGTGTGTCACTTGGGCAGCCCGAGCCTTCACCTCGTCTGTGCGCAGCCGGAATCCCCAGGCCTTCCTGATCTGGTTTACAGAAGATGGTTGGGACCTCCCCGACCTGACGGTCTTAGAACCCCTTCTGTGAATCAGGTGGAGAGCGTGGTGGAAAAGGTGGGTCTAGCACAGAAAAGGAAAACCCTTAGTTTAACGAATGCAGGAGGATGCACCTGCAGATATTTGAAAGCAAAACCTGTGGTGCTGCACATGAGAACGGGATTTGCAGCTTTGTAACTTCATAGAAATACCCTGTCCGTGTTCAGAAGGACATATAAAACACCAGGTGTCTTTCCTGTGAGGGAAGTCCCTCATGCTAAACTTGTACCTTTGGAAATATTTTCTACGTCCCTTTAACCTACTCTATACATTACCCACACGCATATCCGCGCCCATCTCTGACGTACACATCCCCCTTCCTTATTGCTTCCTCCAACAAAATTGAACTTTGAATATCTTTTCAGATAATCATCCGAATTCCTGAAGACAAGCTTTTTAGTGACAGTCTGTCATAGTCTTTTACAACTTCCCATATTTAGGTGTGCGGATCTTGGCTCTGTGGTTGGCGCTCACGTATTGTGGTGGTGCCTTATTTACATCTGCCCAATTTACCTACATTTGTTATTAGTAAGCAAAGAGTAGCTTACAAAGAATGCTTTATGCATGCTTCTGTGCTTTCATCTTTTTTAAAAAGAGCATACTAGAGTGTGAATTACATTCAGAGATTTCAGTTGCGTTTTTGTGTATTTTAACTCCTTTATTTTCTGTTTTTAGAGAAAAATGAGTTTCTTCACTTTTTTCCCCTCGCATTTCACAGCTCACCTTTTCCTCCAATTCTGAATAAGTAAGCAACCAGTTCTGAAACTGCAAATGCCACCTTAACTAGTGAGTGGTGGGGAGTTGGTGCTGCACCTGGAGGGAACTGAGACTGAGACATATCCTTCAAAATAGAGCCACTGCGTGTGGGTAGACGTTTCTGCAGATGATGGTGGGAATTCATGAGGCAGGCAGAGCACCAGACGGTAGGCTGGCAGAAGATGGCGGGCCCTTGTCTGATCAGCTCTGTTCATTAAAGATTGGCTCTCCGGGCTGGGCGCGGTGGCTCACGCCTGTAATCCCAGCATTTTGGGAGGCCGAGGTGGGCGGATCACCTGAGGTCAGGAGTTCAAGACCAGCCTGGCCAATATGGCGAAACCCCGTCTCTACTAAAAACACAAAAATTAGCCGAGTGTGGTGGCTGGCGCCTGTAATCGCAGCTACTCGGGAGGCTGAGGCTGGAGAATCGCTTGAATCCAAGAGGCGGAGGTTGCAGTGAGCCCAGATCCTGCCACTGCACTCCAGCCTGGGCAACAAGAGCAAAAACTCCGTCTCAAAAAAAAAAGATTGGCTGTCCGGCTGAGTACCTTGTAAAGAGAATATGCCGCTTACCAGCTTTGTTGTTTCTGGCTGTGGTCTCTTCACTTCTTCTGACTTTTGACCCGTTACTGATCCCTAGTGCCCATCTTGGCCTAGCTCCTCCAGAACTAACACTCCGGATGGTTATTAAGTTTCTTGCCCTTGTATTGGATTCCCTTGCTTCCTAATTTTAGCTTTTCTCTATGTATTGCTGGAAACAGCTACTGTTCTTGTTGTTGTTAAGCTTCTCCTTGAGCAAAGCTAACCCCACGAGATAGCACCCCACTTTGTAGTTAAACTTGGAAGAAAAAACCAATAGGTAAAGAATGCAGTTAAGGACAGTGGAGAGCTCTCCTAGTAGGCAGGTGTAGTCCAGCAGTGGGGAGTCAGGGGGAAGGCAGACTGGGGAGACCAAGGCAAGAAAGCAGTTGGCATCAGGGAACATTAAGGAATAGAGCCAAGATCCAAGGTCAATTGGTTGGTTGGTTGATTGGTTTATTCATTCATTAACTCATTATTTCAGCAAATGTTGAGGGCCTGGTATGTGCCAGGAATTATGCTAGGTGCTAGAAATACAGGGGTGAGTAATATAGATATGGTTTCTGTTCATACAGAACTTGTGTAAATATGTGTTTTTTTAAATTTTTAAATTTAAATTTTAAAAACATATTTTTTTGAACCACGGTCTTGCTCTATTACCCAGGTTGGAATGCAGTGGCAGGATCATGGCTTACTGTGGGCCCGACCTTCTGGGCTCAAGCAGTCCTCCCATCTCAGCCTCTTGAGTAGCTGAGGCTGCAGGCACGCACCACCAACATCTGGCTAACTTAAATTTTTTTTTTTTGTAGGCCCGGCATGGTGCCTCATGCCTGTAATCCCAGCACTTTGGGAGGCCGAGGTGGGCTGATCACTTGAGGTCAGGAGTTCGAGACCAGCTTGGCCAACATGGTGAAACCCTATCTCTACTAAAATACAAAAATTAGCTGGGCATAGTGGCAGGTGCCTGTAATCCCAGCTGCTTGGGAGACTGAAGCAGGAGAATCCCTTGAACAGTTAGCTGAGATCATGCCACTGTACTCCAGCCTGGGTGACAGAGTGAGACTCCCTCTCAAAAAAAAAAAAAAGTCAAGGAAAAAAATTAAAATAACCCATATGCTGTAATCAGGTATATCACTATTAGCATCTTGATGTCTTTATTAATATTTAACACATTTTAAGTTAAAAATGGGATCACACAATAATACAGTTTTATAACTATCTTTTTCACTTACCAATATATGATAAACATTTTCCACAAGATATCCAATTTGTTATTGTTAGACCTTTAATTTGTTAGCAGTTTTAAAACCATTGTAAATATCACTGCAGTGAAAACCCTTAGAGGTAAATCCTTATAGACAAATAGAATAGCTTTCTAAAATTGGAATGCTTGGTAAAAATACATGATTTGTTTTACAAGGCTTTGGCTATACACTGACAGTTTGCTCCTAGG